AGAGGAGATGGTGGGCTATAGTCCATGGGGTAGTAAAGAGTTGGACATGACTAAGCAACTAACACCTAAACTGCCAGAAAAATCTTGGCTCAGACTCATGATTAATCCATGTTCTTAAAAGTAGATTCTCTGGGTCAAAGGGTATGTAAAATTTCAAAGTGTTTTATATGCATTTACCATTCAATTTAAATAAAAATTATGACATTAATTTTAAACTATTGGCAATTCTTCCAGGGAACTGGGATATTTTCATAACAGCAACAGAGAAAAGGCATTGCCTGTTTCATCAGTTTAAAAACCACATGCTTTCATGGGATGGCAAAGAGGGGGCTGATTAGGAGGGTCAAGCCAATGAGTCTAAAAACAAACATTTAAACCTTAAAAATCTTTGCTGTTGAAAACATCTTTTTTTTTTTTTTTCCTATAATAAGATCCCTCTTCCCACTACTCCTCCCAAAAGCAATTTACTTTTCAGGTCACAGAACCCAGCACCAAACAAATTAAACACCTTATCCATGGCTGTAAGCTCAAAATGCTCAGACCGATGTTTTTCACTATAAGCCACAAGCAAAGTGATTCCAGGGTGATTTTTCTGATAGTAAAAGAAATCCTGGAAACTCTTTACAATTACTCCTGCATGGATCAACATGGCATACAGCAATAGTCTAGAGATCAGTATGAGACAGGTTTGAAGCTGAATCCATACTGACAGAGAAAAACCTTCTATTCATCGAATACTTGAAGTACCTCATTTCCTATGGACTGGATTATTCCTTCATAAATTGTTGGCAACAACTATGACGAGTTTAGCTCCTACCTTTGTTACCAAACACAGTCTGCTGATCTGTGTGTAATAGAGGTAACAAAGTAGTCGGTTTTAGAAACAAAAAAAAATTTTTATTGTTTGAGAAACTAATCAGTCCATTCTCTGCATAAAAGGAAAAGCCACATTCAGAAATCTGTTAGCTATGAGGAGTTAGCCTGAATGCATCCACACCGGGCTTGGTATTACAATTTTATGTTGAAATTTGGAATTGCTTTTGCTTAGTATTGAGTTAATTATTGGAAAAATAAATTCAAATTGATAGATTAAAGATAGTCAGCTAACAGACTTTACCACACTATATCAAAACAATGTCATTGATCATTAGTACAGTTTTTTTTTAAGGGTTTTTTTTCTTTCTCTTGAAATCTTTTTTGACTACCTCAAAAAGTTCTTTGTAATATGTGATAAATGTGTTTAAATATGTTTTCAGACACTCTTTAAAAGTTTGAATTAAGTATGTATCTTTTAATGGGGACAACAGAACCATATTACTAATGAAAAGTATAATCCCCAGGGAGTCAACAATCAGGTTAGTGGCAAACCTGGCCCCATGGGCTAGATGTAAACCACAGCTCTGTCCATTGTAGAACTTGAAGGGTTGAAATGAAATCAACACATGCCATCAATGCATTTCTGCTTTGATAAACATTGTTTAAATTTCCCCTGGCATTTAAAAAAAAATATGTATTAAAAAGAATGTGCACAACGCAGGCTGAGCCTCCTCAAATATGAATGTGTTCGATTTCATATTTTTAGTTCTGTGTCTATTGAGAAAAAGCCATTTTTGCTCAACCCCAGTCTGTAAATTTCTGTGTGCTTATTGACATAATATGTAAATGTCCTTGACCAGATAAAAAGACAAAAAGAAAACTGCCTGCCTGCTTGCACAAGCCATGAAGCACTGCGAACCCTCTCAAAGACCTCTCTCTTATCAAAACAATTCTCCAAGGCTGAGCGGTGATCTGAAAAAAACTAAGAGAAAATAACAAAGAGAAAGAATCAAGCTTGCACATTTTTGACTTACATCTGTTGAAATATAATCTGACAAATAAATAAGCAAAAATATGAAGTTTTGCTAAAACATTTCAATGATGCTTATTTTTTTAAAAAGGAAAAAAAAACCCCAATTATGAGATAAATATTGCCAGGGGAACAAAAGCTGTTTGTTTACCACAAACTTGTTTTTTATTTCATTTTAAAAGACAGATGTGGTTCACCTTTAATATATGAAACTATGGTAGATTTGTATTCTTTTTAAAGCAATTTTCTCTTTTCTAATGACTGCAATCATCTGGAGCTAGTCAATGTCTAGTAAGGGTTAAATGAATGAATTTCAAGTTTATTATAATGCAGATAACATCTCCAAGCACTGTGAGTAAGTTCTTCACTTCACTTCTAAGGTCAACTCTCTACACCAGTTTCACCTAAGAAAATATAATTTTTAAAATATTAAATATTTTTTTTTTTTGCTATGAAACTTGGACTTGATTTTTAATGACTGATTCATATTAGAATAAATCCCTAAAAGGGGTGTTGACTTAGAGACTATCCTTCTCTTTGGAAAACTGACTCCATGTATAGAGTTTTGGCAACAGAAAAGAAATTACTGTCATAGTCTCAAAAGCTACCCTGCTTCCAGATTCATAAATGATCATTTCCTAAATCAATACATCTCTTAGGCACATTTTCTTAAAAATGTCAACTGTATATATTTAAATTTAACAAATACTTTATTCTAGCTCTCTTCATTTCTTTTGATCACTGGAGATTGTTCTGACATCATGGGGAGATGTATAAAGACAAATATTAAATGCTGCACTATACCAGTGATGTCAGTAGCACTACTGAATGAGATTTTCATTGCTAAGCCACATGACAGCTCTACAGTTTCTGCCAGACATAAAGTGGACTTGTATTCAGTTGGCATTTCAACACTTCTTTGGAGCACAACCACTTTTCAGAATTACAAGGTTACTTAATTGAAAGTAGATTTTAAAATTATAGTAGTTGTTAAATACTAGGAGCTAAATTTTCACTTGTATACTTAAAGCTGTTATTTGGAGCTGAATCGGGCAGGCAGTTTAACAAGGAACAGAAAATGTTTAAAATCACCAAGATCATTATCCAGTGAAATTAAAATCCCGAAACCAGAGGCCTCGGCATTGCATGGAAATTTGCAGGTGAATCCAGCATCCTCATGAGAAACACATCTGGATAGGCACCAGGATTAGATACCCTGGGGAGTATATATACTGGGGAGGAGAAGAGAGGCCAGCAAGTCCCCAGCCTGGGGGAAATCATGCCCCCGGGGCCTGCAGACATGGACTCAGGAGTACAATAGAAGAGAACTGTCAGTTTTGGTGAAAGCTGCTGTTAGTGTCCTGTGATGTATGCTCACATACATATGTGTGTATAAATGTTCTTTCCCAGGCCTCTTTCCTACACCTTTGGGGAGAGATGGGGGTGAGAGATGTAAAATATGAAATCAGTGATCATGAATTGATGGCAGGAAATGAACAGCATGCTACAAAAGTAGGGGGAGGCAGAAAAGTGGCCCCCTAAAGAGCACACATCCTTATTTCAAAACTTGTGAATACGGCACCTTTCATGGCAAAAAGGACATTGCAAATATAATTAAGTTGAGGATCTTGAGGTGGGGGGATTATCCTGGATTACCTCGAGTGGGGGAAAACAACGGGTCTCTAAAGAGAGAGAGGAAGGAAAATCAAGGTCAGAGAAGCAAATTAACAATGGAAGCAGAGGTCAGAGAAGAGAGAAGATGGTATGCCGCTGCCTTTGAAAATGGAAGGGGCAACAAGCCAAGGAATGTACACAACCTCTAGAAACGAAAAGACAAAGCAGTGATTGTCCACCACAGCCTGCGAAAAGAATCAGTCCTGCTAACTTCTTGATTTTCTCGCCAGTGAGACATCCAATTTTCAGAAATGTTACGACAAGCTAGTGGAAATTTGTTATAGCAGCAACAGGAAATTAATATAGATATTTTATTGCAATTTAAAGAAAGGCAATTTACATTCCATCAAGAACTTTACCCAGTACCCATTTTCAATGCATAGTGATGACCAAGATGGCCTTAGCCAGGTTTCTTCCTGAACTCCCTTCTCTTAGAGCATTTACTTTAGAAATGCTCCCTTCCCTGGGTTTGGAAGATCCCCTGGAGAAGGGAAAGGCTACCTACTCCAGTATTCTGGAGTGCTCCCAGGGATGCTCCCTTTGTTTACTTTAGACATGCTCCTTTCTACAAGCTTCCCTTGTGGCTCAGCTGGTAAAGAATTCTCCTGCAATGCGGGAGACCTGGCTTCGATCCCTGGGTTGGGAAGATTCCCTGGAGAAGGGAAAGGCTACCCATTCCAGTATTCTGGCTTGGAGAATACCGTGGATTGTATAGTCCATGGGGTCACAAAGAGTCAGACATGACTGAGTGACTTTTACTTTATTTTAGAAAACTTGCAATTGTAAATTCTGTCTCAATGAGCTGTAAATCTTCTCCTAGCCTCTTACCAGTTTCACACTCCTAAAATGTCTTTCTCAAAGGCCTTTGAAATGTAATCATCAAAGGAAACAGTGCCCAGATCTCCCAGTCTCTAAGACAGCCCAGGAACCTAACTTCCACAAGCAACAAGCAGAAAACACCAATGTCCTAATCACACTGACCAATCTCTTCCTTTATATCCTCCAATACTTTTCCCCTAGTCTCCACAGAATTCTTCTGTGTCTTGACTTATCTGATTCCGCTGATGTCAGTTATCCCACTTTTATCTTTCTCTTCTCTCTCCCATTGTCCGTTCTTCGGTTCTGCTCCACACTGGGAATGCGTGGCTAACATCTCTGACTGCCCTCCAGCCTGCTCTGGCTCTTTCCAGTTTGACTCTGAACCAAAGAAGATCAGAACCTGTCTGGGACTCCAAGACTGAACTTACTCTGCTGTTTGGGGCCAATGGATCACTCTTCTCCCTTTTCTTCATGACTCTCAGTCTCCGAGACTTCCTTAAAGCCCTCAAGCACTGCCTGCTTTCTTTCTCACTTGCCAGCATGGGCATGTGCTAAGTCACCTCAGTTGTGTCCAACTCTTTGTGACACTATGGGCTGTAGCCCTCCAAGCTCTTCTGTCCATGGAATGTTCCAGGCAAGAACACTGGAGTGGGTTGCCATGTCTGCCTCCAGGGGATCTCCCTGACCCGGAGACTGAACGCACGTCACCTTGACTCCTGCACTGTAGGCGGATTCTTTACCACTGAGCCACCGAGAAGCACCTGACAGCACTATTAGGGTATGAATCATGTGTGTATATATATTTTCTTTCATTCTACTGGAACTTGAGGGAGAGGGATGGTAGATCCACATGCTCAATTTATCATTTTATACCCCATGTTCTGTTCTTAAACTGTTCGGTTAGATACTTCCACCAGGTTAGACTTCCGCCTCTTCCACCCAGCCATTCACTTAGCTCCTTTTTATTTTATTAGCTCCACTGCTCATCAACAAAAAACAAAACCAACATGGAAACAATCCAAAAACAAACAGAACCTCCTTCTATTTTATGTCAACAAATTTTGCTTTCTTTAGTCCCTGAGCCCTAGACTTTTTTTTTGCATTTCTAAAGACTCTGGATTCTCTGGTAAACTTAAATGAGTCTTGCACTAGGAACCTCACACCTCCTACTTCCTTCACTAGTTTCTGCCAAGGGGAGAAACTGCTCTATCTCCCCACTGGGACAAGTTATATCATCTCTATTAGAGGGCAGACACACTACAGGTGGTGTGAGTTTTAAATATAATTTTTCTGTCCTCCTATATTTTATCTTAAACTAAACATAAAAAATCATATAGGTAGCCTTTTATACATGATGTGAGAAGAAGCAACTGTTAAAATATGAAGGAAGAAAAATGCCTTTTGATTATTTCTTCAATTTTCTCCTGACACATGAACTCTGCATTTTTGTTCATAACAATATCCAAGTTCTATTCTAACTAAAAAACCTCCAGAGGTCAAAGTGAGTGGGTTGTTATCATGTACTAGTACCTTTTTTCTCTAATAATTATTCACTGGGCTTGTTTCATTTAAGAATGCAGTTTCCTATGCATTTCATCAGTGTGTAGAAAACAGTGGGAGTGAAAAATCATTTTGTCAACAGTTACCCAAAATCACGGAACTAGGAGAATGAGAGTGAGGATGACAACTGGTTGGGATACTAAGGTAATAAAGTATTTTCCTCTCTTCATTGAGAAAGCAACATTGCTTGGGGCTTCCCAGGAGAGAAAAGGACAAATCAATTAACATAGGTCACTGAACTGCCAACCTCTAACCCTTTTCTTTCTCCCTTCCCTACTTCCTTCCTTCCATGTATTCAATACTTCTTTCCATATATCTTCCTTCCTTCCATCTATCCATCTATAAATACTTATTGAATATCTAAAATACACCAGGAATTTTCCTGGGGGGTGTAAACATAAAGATGAGTAAGAAAAGGCACTTTGGCTTTCAGCCCTCACAGCTCTGAGGGGCAGACAGTTATGACCACTGACAGTAATGATGTACCCCTGAAGTCTAACAACTGCTATAACTTTGGTGAACAAAACAGTGTGGGAACACAATGATCACCTATTACACTTCATTAAGACAATGAAATCTGACCGGCATGGAGTTTTTTCAGATAAGACACAAGGAAAGGCAAAGGTAATTGTGCGTGTGTGCTTAGTCGTGTCCAAGTCTTTGCAACCCCATGGACTGTAGAACTCCAGGCTCCTCTGTCCATGGAATTTTCCAGGCAAGAATACTGGAGTAAGTTGCCATTTCCTACACCAACCAGGGGATTATCCCAATCCAGGGATCAAACCTGCGTCTCCTGCATTTGGCAGGCGGATTCTTTACCACTATCTCACCTAGGACATCCCATACAGTGCATGTAAATGCCTAGAGGAGTAACAGGGCAAGAGCTGTTTACTACAGCTCCTGCTGTAGGAAGTACCATGTGAATGCGGCTCTGAGAACACAGGTATGATGTCACAATCAACGTTCATAGGTTCAATGGGATTAATCTCTCAAGAGCTTTGTATTCCGTGTCTAGAAATAGGAAACCTACCCTGACAAAGCCAAGGTTTATAATCAAGAAAGCAGCATTAAAGTTTATTTTTGTAGGAAGCTCTTAGTCTCCTCAGGCTGCCACAACCAAATATATAGACTGGGTAGTTTAAAAAACAGAAATTTATTTGCTCACAGTTTTGGAGGCTAGAATTCCCAGACCAGAGTGCCAGCATTGTCAGGTTCTCCAGAGAATTATCTTCCTGGCTTGCACAGGATCAACTTCTGGTTATATCCTCATATGGCAGAGAAAGATAGAGCTCTCTGGTGTTTCTTAATGGTGCTGGTTCTATCATAAGGACCCCACTCTTACAACCTCATTCACATTTAACCACCTCCAAAGGGCTCCATCTCCAAATGCCATTACACCAGGTATTTGGGCCTTAACATATGAACAGCATCAGGGTGGGGAACTAACATAAAGAAACATGAACAAATAACAGAACTCCTGCAGGGGTATGGAACAAAGACTTAAATGAAGGGGTAGATGCTGATAAAATTATTTTGATCAGGTATTTACAAAGTGAACAATTAAGCAAAGCAAACTGAGATAGTGTCAGCATGGATGAAAAAAGATATTCATTTTATAGATATGATTTTTTTATTCATCTGACACAAAAAGTGAAAAAGAAGGAAAATTCAGATATAAGAGGATTTAATATAAGACATGGGACCAATATTAAAAGCATATCATTGTGTAGTTTACCCTTAAACTTTGGCTTCTCACCTTCCAGTGGTACATCTCTAAGGTTGCATCACCATAGCATTCAGTCCTCCACTTCTTAACAGTAACAGTCAGTCCAGTTCAGTCTCTCAGTCGTGTCTGACTCTTTGCGAACCCATGAACTGGAGCACACCAGTCCAACATGTCCATCACCAACTCCCAGAGTTTACTCAAACTCATGTGCATTGAGTCGGTGATGCCATCCAATCACCTCATCCTCTATGGTCCCTTCTCCTCCTGTCTTCGATCTTTCCCAGCATCAGGGTCTTATCAAATGAGTCAGCTCTTTGCATCAAGGGGCCAAAGTATTGGAGTTTCACCTTCACGATCAGTCCTTCCAATGAATATTCAGGACTGATCTCCTATAGGATGGACTGGTTGGATCTCCTTGAAGTCCAAGGGATTCTCAAGAGTCTCCTCCAAAACCACAGTTCAAAAGCATCAATTCTTGGCACTCAGGTTTCTTTATAGTCTAACTCTTACATTGATACATGACTATTGGAAAAACCATAGCCTTGACTAGAAAGACCTTTGTTGGCACAGTGGTCTCTCTGCTTTTTAATATGCTGTCTAGGTTGGTCATAACTTTTCTTCAAAGAATCAGCGTCTTTTAATTTCATGGTTACAGTCACCATCTACAGGGATTTTGGAGCCCCAGGAAATAAAGTCTGCCACAGTTTCCACTGTTTCTCCATCTATTTGCCATGAAGTGGTGGAACCAGATACCATGATCTTAGTTTCCTGAATGTTGAGCATTAAGCCAACTTTTTCACTCTCCTCTTTCACTTTCATCGAGAGGCTCTTTAGATCTTCTGCGCTTTCAGCCATAAGGGTGGTATCATTGGCATATCTGAGGTTATTGATATTTCTCCCAGCAATCTTGATTCCAGCTTGGGCTTCATTCAACCCAGCGTTTCTTATGATGTTCTCTGCATGTAAGTTAAATAAGCAGGGTGACAATATATATCATTGACATACTCCTTGTCCTATTTGGAAACAGTCTGTTGTTCCAAGTCCATTTCTGATGCTAACTGTTGCTTCCTGACCTGCATACAGATTTTGCAAGAGGCAGGTCAGGTGGTCTGGTATTCCCAGCTTTTGAAGAATTTTCCACAGCTTATTGTGATCCACACAGTCAAAGGCTTTTGTGTAGTCAATAAACCAGAAGTAGATGTGGTTTTTTTTCGGAACTCTCCTCCTTTTTTGATGATCCAGCGGATGTAGGCAATTTGATCTCTGGTTCCTCTGCCTTTTCTAAATCCAGCTTGAATATCTGGAAGTTCCTGGTTCACATACTGTTGAAGCCTGGCTTGGAGAATTTTGAGCACTACTTTACTAGCATGTGAGATGAGTGCAGTTGTGTGGTAGTTTGAGGATTCTTTGCATTGCCTTTCTTTGGGATTAGAATGAAAACTGACCTTTTCTGGTTCTGTGGCCACTGTTGAGTTTTCCAATTTTGCTGGCATATTGAGTGCAGCACTTTCACAGCATCATCTTTTAGGATTTGACATAGCTCAACTGGAATTCCATCACCTCCACTAGCTTTGTTCGTAGTGATGCTTCCTAAGGCCCACTTGACTTCACATTCCAGGATATCTGGCTCTAGGTGAGTGATCACACCATTTTGATTATCTAGGTCATTAAGATCTTTTTTGTACAGTTCTTCTGTGTATTTTTGCCACCTCTTCTTAATATCTTCTGCTTCAGTTAGGTCATACCATTTCTGTCCTTTATTGAGGCCATCTTTGCATGAAATGTTCCCTTGGTATCTCTGATTTTCTTGAAGAGATATCTAGTCTTTCCCATTCTATTGTTTTCCTCTATTTCTTTGCACTGATCACTGAGGAAAGCTTTCTTATCTCTCCTTGCTATTCTTTGGAACTCTGCATTCAAATGGGAATATCTTTCCTTTTCTCCTTTGCTTTTCGCTTCCCTTCTTTTCACAGCTATTTGTAAGGCCTCTTCAGACAACCATTTTGTCTTTTTGCATTTCCTTCCATGGGGATGGTCTTGATCCCTGTCTCCTGTACAATGTCATGAACCTTCATCCGTAGTTCATCAGACACTCTGTCCAGGACCCTATAATGAAAAGGACATCTTTTTTCGGTGTTAGTTCTAAAAGGTCTTGTAGGTCTTCATAGAACCGTTCAACTCAGCTTCTTCAAGGTTACTGGCTGGGGCATAGGCTTGGATTACAGTGATATTGAATGGTTTGCCTTGGAAATGAACAGAGATCATTCTGTCATTTCTGAGACTGCATCCAAGTACTGCATTTGAGACTTCCGACTCTTTTGTTGACTATGATGGCTACTCCATTTCTTCTAAGGGATTTTTGCCCACAGTATTCTTCCCTGGAGAACCCCATGAACAGCACAAAAAGGCAAAAAGATAGGACCCTAAAGATGAACTCGCCAGGTCGGTAGGTGCCCAATATGCTACTGGAGATCAGTGGAGAAATAACTCAGAAAGAATGAAGAGATGGAACCAAAGCAAAAACAACACCCAGTTGAGGATGTGAGTGGTGATGGAAGTAAAGTCTGAGGCTGTGGAGAGCAATATTGCATAGGAACCTGGAATGTTAACTCCATGAATCAAGACAAATTGGAATTGGTCAAACAGGAGATGGCAAGAGTGAATGTTGATATTTTGGGAATCAGAAAACTAAAATGGACTGGAATGGGTGAATTTAATTCAGATAACAGTAACAATTTAGAGTTAATACCAGTTCAACTCAGGGCTTCTCTGTTGGTTCAGGTGGTAAAGCATCTGCCTGCAATGTGAGAGACCTGAGCTCCATCCTTGAGTTGGGAAGATTCTCCTGGAGAAGGGAAAGGCAACCTACCCCAGTATTCTTGCCTGGAGAATTCCATGTACAGAGGAGCCTGGTGGGCTACAGTCCATGGGGTCACAAAGAGTCAGACACGATTGAGTGACTAACATACACATGCACAATCTATAGCTTTTGTTTAGCTTTTTTGCTTTTAAGCCTAAACAAATGCCAAGAGTATTTTATATATTGAAATAAATCCTTTGAGTGTCAAAGCCAAATTCCCAGCAGAATCGATTCTTCTTTGTGTGGGTTTGGAAATCTTCCCTGCTTATGCCAAATCCTGTAGATCAGTAGCAGGGACCTAGCATTTTGGGGCAGTTAGTCTATGTCAGCCAGCAATAGATTGGGAGTCTTCGCTTGTCGACTGTTGGTTGCATTTTATGTCCCTCTTTGTAGGTTGAGAAAATGCAGCTGGGCTTTCAGAACACAAAAAGAGTCAGGAAGAACATGAAATCTCAACAAGCCAATGAGGTCATCTGAGTGATCATAGGAGAAATGAGGAATCATGAAGATTATATCTTGACAGAAGAGAGAGAGAAAAGTGAAAGGAGAGCAAGCCTGAAGAGGCAGCAGGGTCAGTGAAATAGGATGCAGAGCCTTTAGTGAACAGCATGTTTATTTCAAGGAAAATTAATAGCGTATTATGAAGCACCTATTGATCGCTCTAGGTATGTGCTGGTGATGCAAAAGAATACAAAAGAAGTTCAAGATCTGAGCCCTCCCACCAAGGACATTTACATTCTATTCTCCTCTTTTCAGCTTTTCCAGTCCCACTCATCTTCTCTCCTTTCTACAAATCAATTCAAAGTGGCATCAAAAAACAGAATATCAAGAAAACACTTTCAAGTGTTTTGTACTTCTCTTCCCCCACATTCTGTATCCTATCATTTAGACCTCTCATTAATACATGGAAATGTATGCCTCTTTCAATGCATTTATCTTAACTGTAAGCTTCCTAAGAACAGAAATTAAATACAAATAAGTACCTCCAGCCCCCTTATAAATGCCTAGCACAGTGCCAATATGCACAAGGAGATCTTATTATTAATTGATTCAGTTCTGGCTGGGACAACTGCTAAATAACAGTTTTATGAGTGAACAATGAATGCATGCTTTGTACCTTGGTATTTGGATCTCTAAAGCAGTGACATAACTCAATTGCTTATTTTACTACTGAACTTTTTCATTTAATATACAAAAAACAGAAAATGAATCCTGGTCCTGAGATTCTTTTTTATATTTAGTTGACTCTTGTGTAAAGCATTCCTGTTCCATTGTTCTTCCATAGACTCTTCCATCTCATTAAATGTATGCCTCCAGGGGATCACAGGAATACATCAATTTACCAAGCACAGTTTTTAAAAAAATTAATCATGTATTTTACAATATTATTTATTATTGGTATCTTCAACTCAATTAAATAGCCATTTATTTTTAGATTTACTATTTGTTACGATGGAGAAACAGAAGATATGACAACTTGGTGCTTAAACATTTCAGTGAGGAGAAAGAAAAGGCGTATATAGACATTTTAATACCATTATCAAGTGCTGTGCAAAAAAAGCACCACAGTGATTCTTCCACCAGAATTATACAGAATGTAGATTTCATTGCAAGTCAGTAGAAGCAAGAAGAATTCATGGCGTGAAGGTATCTGAGCAGATCAAGCATCAAATAAGTGGAAAAGACAGGTAAGTGTACTCTGAGGGATTGGAAGGGCAGGGCGGTGCCATGAAGTAAAAGAAATAGAAAGGAAATTCATATGGCTTGCACAAAAGGTCATGAGTTCCCCTCCACCTGGGATGACCTGGGAGATTTTGGAGAAAACAGTTGTCAGACAGGCTGATAGATAGAAAAGACCAGAATATAAAGGACTTCTTATATTGAATTATTTTAAATTTTACTGAATAAATCAAATAATCCCAACCTCTCAGCATAAATATTTCATTCTTCCACTGTGAGACTCTAACGTTGGAGGTGTCACACGCAATTATAAATGCTTCAGAGTAGAATAGAGCAATCACTCTGTTAGGGTTTGGAATCAGGCAAATCTTGTTCTATTTTTTACTACTTACAAGTTAGGTGATATCAAGCAAATGACTTAAACTTGCTGAATCTCATTTTATATATCTACAAAATGGAGACTGTACTATTTATTTCGAAGGATGTTATATAGATGAAATTAAATTATACAATGCTGTGATACTGACTTATAAAAAAAAATACATACTTGATCTTCCAGTTTCTGGCAGAATCCTTAAAACCATCAAAATTCTCTAAGAGAGGAGAGCAATAAAAGATGTCTTTTGTAATGTTAATGATATTACTTTAGGAAAGCCCTTAGGTAAAGAGAGGCTGGGGCTGGTTTCCAGAGGAAGCATCTTTGAATGGAAGGTTGGAACTTTCAGTCTACCTTCTGATTTTCAGGGTTTCATGGGGGCTGAGGTGGAATTAATTACTCAATGACCAATGACTTAATCAATCATCCATATTTAATGAAGCCTGAATAAAAACTCCCCAAAGAAGGGTTTTGGAGATCTTTCAGGTCGGCACACGTGGCAGTATGGGAAGACTGGGCTCCTGGAGTGAGCCTGGAAGCACCACACCTTTCCCCCATGTTCTGTGCTGCAATTGCAGCTGACTGTTCCTGAGCTACATCCTTCTACAAGAAAACCAGGGAGCTAGTAAGTAAAGTGTTTCTGGGAGCTCTGGGAGCCACTCTAGCAAACTAATTGAGCCCAAGGAGGGCATCCTTGGAACGTGCAATCTATAGCTAGTCAGAAGCACACGTGTCAACCTGGTCTTGAGCCTCACATCTGAACTGGGGGGTGGAGTGCAGGGACTTTCTTATAGGACTGAACCCTTAACCTGTGGAATCTGATGCATGCATTTCCAGATAGTGTCAGAACTGAGTTGAATTGTAGGACACCCAGCTGGTCTCTGAGAATTGCTTGGATATATGTGGAAACAGCACAGGACCTCTTGCCCCCTACCCCCCACACCCACTCCACCACCACCACTGGAATTAGTGACCAGAATTTTAAATACTACATATAAAGTTCACAATGCAATATCAAATATCAATAAATGCTGGTTGCTATTGTTGCTATGGTAGCTATTTCCTCTCAGTAATTCTGTAGAAGCTACCTAACTTCTTAGAACTTCAAGTACTCATTTCTTTTGGCTATTGTCAAAATTAAGTGAAATAACTTTGAACATTCCTAGGTGATCAATAAATTATGGCTATTTCCATTATTTTATTACATTTTCTTACTATCTTTGGGCTTCCCTTATAACTCAGTCAGTAAAGAAATTTCCTGCAATGCAGAAGACTCGAGTTCCATCCCTGGATTGGGAAGATCCCCTGGAGAAGGGAAGGGCAACCCACTCCAGTATTTTTGCTTGGAGAATTCCATGGGCAGAGGAGTCTGATGGGCTACAGTCCATGGGGTTGCAAAGAGTCAGACTCAACTGAGCAACTAACACACACACTATCTTCGTGTCTCTGTTATATATTTATCTAGATACATACGCATAATACATGACATTATTATACATACAACTGAATATAATTCCCGAATAACAATTTCACATTATTGAATGACTTCTGTATAAAAAGTCACTGTGCTATAAGCTACTGAGTGTATACTGGTAACAGAGCAGTTGCTGGCAAACTATGTTTGGCAGGCCAAGTCTAGCTAGCCTCACCTTTTTGTAAGCTCGGTTTTATCAGAATGCAGCCACACTTATTCTATGTATTTCCGCTCTTGCACTACAGCAGCAGAGTTGAATAGTTATGACAGTCCGAGGGGCTGGTAAAATCTGAAGCATTTACTATATAGCCCTTTACAGAAAATGTTTGCCAACCCCTATGTTAGAGTATTCCTATCTTAGAGAATAGAGGAGTTTTTGATTTGGCAAACTGTACTAAACAAACATAAATATCTGAGCCAGAATACACATTTCAGTATATACAGTAGTATACATAAATTTCATAGATGGAGGTATCTAACTCAGTTGTGTTAATCATTAAAGAATTTATTGTAAAAGGAATTTATTATAGTAGTTGCATTTGGAACCACCTTTTATTAAAGCTAAGGTTTATTATGTAATTTCATTTGGTTATTTGCTCATTCAATAAATATCTGTTAATAGCCTTGAATATGCCAGGTATTGTTTTAAGTACTTGGAATTTGGCAATAAACAGAATGAACAAAAACCTTCCTCTAATGAGGCTTACATTCTAGTGAGGCAGGCAATGTACAAATAAATAACTATGTAATGTAATGCCAATTGCATTAAAGAAAAAGAAGATAAAAAGATAGAGAACAGTGGAGATGGTGGGTACTCTCAGGATGGTTAGGGAAGATTTCTTCAAAGAAGTGATGGTTTAGTTGAAAACTAATGGAATAAGCCAGGGCTTCCCCAGTGACTCAGAGCTAAAGAATCCGCCTACAATACAGAAGATGCAGGAGACGCCACAGTTTTGATCCCTGGGTTGGTAAGATCCCCTGGAGGAGGGCACGGCAGCAACCCACTCCAGTATTCTTGCCTTGGAGAATCCCATGGACAGAGGAACCTGGCAGGCTACAGTCCATAAGGTCGCACAGAGTCGGACACCACTGAAGTGGCCAAGCATGCATGCACGCAAGGGAGTAAGCCACGCACATGTCTGGTGAAGACTATTCCAGCCAGAAAAACAGTAGGCACAGGGATCCTGAGTCAAGACTGTGCCTGATATGTTAAAGAAAACTTACTTTCTGGTACTCAACATATTGTACCATTGCTAAATAGCTTTAAGAGTACATTATCACATTTAATTCTCTCAGTAACATTATGATAGATAAAATAAAATCATTTCCACTTTACAAATGTAGAATTTAGATCTAGAGAGGTTAAGAAACTAACCTAAAGTCATAGAACCTTTACATGGCAGCACTTGAACCCAAAACTATGAATCCAAGGCAAATGCTGGAAATTGCCACAATACACTGCCTTGAAGAATATCTAGAAATGCAACAGATTCAGGCATGATTTCTAGATGCAGAAATATAAAGTACAAATAAATGTATTTCTAATGTGAGTTATGTTTGGATAAGAGCAAATTTCCTAATTTGGCTTTAATATAGACTTTGTATGGAATACTACGTAAGATAAAGTTTTAAAAAACAGGTTGGTTGGAGACACATTGTGGAGAGCCAGGTATCTTAGGCAGAAGTATGTGTTCTCAGTTCAATTGGAGGGAAGCTATTCAAGGATTTGGGATGGGGGACAAAGTGGAGTAGGACTCTGGAAAGTTCAGTCTGGCAACTGGAGAGTGTAATGGATGTGGGCTGGGAAGGCTGGAGGGAGTGGAACTTAGTATTTATGGCATTAGCTCAAACAAACTGCAGTGAGGAACTGAACCGGGTTGTTGGTATTGGGAATGGAAAGGAAAGAGGTATGAGGTGAACTTCAGAGGCTGAATCTATAGGTGACAACTGACTGGCACCAGGAAGATGAAGAATTTAAAGATGACTGTGATGTGTCAAGCCTCAGAAGATGATCTGGCCATGAACAGAAACAGGGAAAAGGAACTAGACAAGGAGATATTTGGGCCAGATTAAGGAGCAATGACTCTCTGGCAGAGAAGACGTTGCTCAATGACCTAAGACTTGAGAGTTGAGGTGTGTTAACTAGGAGTAGTCCGTGAAGAAGTGACAGGCGGCACTAGATGAGATGATAAGATTATACGGGCAGGAGTGTAAAATAAAAAAATAAAGACCAGAAATCTTATGGCAAGTCTAGGTTTAGGAGAGGGAAGGAAAGAAAAATAGGCACTCCAGGCTGTAAGATAACAATGATGGCCAACACTTATCAAGTATTTACTAAGTCTGAGGCATGAATCTAGGTGTTTCACATGTATCAACACATGGATAATGAATTGGCTTGGAAGGCAGGAAAAATTCCATACCAAGAAGGGAGAACTTTCCTTAGGAATACCTCCTGGTCTGTCAGCCTTCATGCTGGGTGACAGAAAGTGCTAAGGAAGAATGGTTGAACATTCAGAACTCTTGACATTTCAACACATTCCAACTCCCCGTGTTTGGACAGTTCGACTATGTGTTCTATGTAAGATCTCATCAGGGAAAAACATGAGGCTCTGCTGCTAAAAGCACTCTGAAGTTCATCAGCTTAGGAGGAAGGGATGGACTCGTGGGCAAATTTTTCCAATGATAAGGAAGGAGGAGTGACCATGTTTATAGGAATATTCACAAACAGTTAAGACATGGGAGAAGCTGTTAGATATTTATGGAGAAAGAAAAGGGCAAGAATGGCTCCTATGACAGTGAGACAGTAAATGGGCCAAGATAAAGTCTCAGGATGCCCTTCTTGAGGTTAGTGGTCATGAATTTGAAATGACAGCAGTCAACATATCACTTACTAAGAGCCTACTCTAATATTCTGAGACAACAAACATGAGGACGTGTTTGCTGACCTTAAGGAAGGGGTGAGAATTCAATATTCCTTTATATACATTATCTAATGTAATCTTCACTACAATATTAAAAACTAGGCCATATATGAGTGACTTGGTGATAACCACTCTACTCAAATAAAGGACAGGTATTAAAATGGCCAGTCCCTTTCAATGCAATACCCTAATTTGATACTTAAATCCAAGTAAGGTCTTTTACCTTCCCCCATCTAAGCCTATTTCAAGCCTGAGAAACCATGATGGGAGGGGAACACTGGTGTTCTCTTGTCTACTCCACTCTGCCTCTTATTTCAGTAGTAAGAGATTCAGACCCCTCCAGTTCCAGCCCGGAGGGAGAAGGCATTTGAAGGAAAGTAAACAGCTGACTCATTTGAAAAGACCCTTACACTGGGAAAGACTGAAGGCAGAACAAGAGGGCGTCAGAGGATGAGACGGCTGGATGGCGTCACCGATGCGACGGACATGAATTTGGGCAAACTCCGGGAGATGGTGAAGGCCAGGGAGGCCTGGTGTGCTGCAGCCCATAGGGTCGTGAAGAGTCAGACACAACTGAGCGACTGAAAAGCAACAGTCTTACTCAGTGTACGGGTGTCAGGACTCTCTGCATACAACTCTTTCTGTCTTAACCAGAGCCTTGTAGATCCTTCTTGAGAATCTTCTCCTAGAAACCCCTATCCACAGCTCTTGGTTATAGGCCGTGCTACTCCTCTGACTAAATACCAACCCTTTTGCCACCTACTCTTAACCTCACAAGTTGCTGTGTTGTTTTTTGCTTGTTTGGCTAGTTTTTTCTTTCGTTTTTATTATGTTTAATTTTTATTAAAATATAGTTGATTTACAATGTTGTATTAGTTTCAGGTGTACAACAAAGTGATATGAAATATATATTAAAAATATATATATATATACACCCACACACACATATATATACTTTTAAAGATTCTTTTCCACTATAGGTTATTACAAGATTGTTTTTTTCCCCCTATTCAATAGGTTATCTTGCCTAGGCTAGAGGACCTTCAGAGTCCCTTTTAAAATTATACTGGGTCAGCCTTCTCCCAAGGACCACATAGCCTTTGGGAAACTCATGTACACCTGTGTTGCAGGGATGGAAGTACAGCTTGATCCTAGAGCAGCTTTCTTTCTCTTTGCTTTTCCATTCCAGGCCAAACCCCAGGGGGACACATTCCAACCTCCCAAGGCTCCTTGAAGCCTGTTTCACTTGAAGGAAGAGGCAAAATCCTACGGCACTGAACAAACTCTTGCTACAGCATTCTTACTACACTCCAACCTCCTCCACTTACCGAAACTAGAGGTGACGGATGGCTGAGGTTGTCTAAATTAGTATCACAACCTTTTAGCAAATCCTGATTAAGTGGACCAATTCTTTGATTTAGGACATGAGGTGACTCAGTACCTTTTGTATCGTTCTCAGCCTTTGGGACCTTGACTAAAATAGAGACAGAAAAGTCCCATTTTACCAACTTATCTGTATAAAGGCATTGTAAACACTGATAACCATTTGGTAGCACTCTTTGGAAGGCTTTTGGCATCTTGGTTAAACTTGCACTCTTCTGTTTACTATGGCAAATTTCTGTAGAAATGTTCATTTCTATGTTTATGTCTTTTATAACATCTTTGCCTCACACTTATATTACCTCTTTGTTCCCAGTAACTTCTGTTTTCATGTCACTTTCATCAATCTTGGATCTTGGCATCACTAATAGTTCCTGATATACAGAAAACATATTTTCTTAACTTCAAACCTATTCCACTATTTCAGTACTCAACTAAGGAATTGGGTTTATTGTACACCAAGAAAAAGCAAAGCAATTAGAAAAGTCTTTCAAAAGGCTCCCACCACTACACCTACCTATTTACTACATCTGTGGCCAGAGGCTCTGACATTTCTCCCATTACAAGAGATGAATTGGTAATGTTCCTATTAAGGCCAATCAATTCCCTCTTCCAAATGTGCACACACACAATACACACACACACACACACACATACTTTTTCTCTAGACCTGATCCCTCACTCATTCAAGGGTATTACCAATGTTTTCTTGTAACAACCATTTTTGCATTTCAGACACGATATTGAATCATAGTAGAAAAACAACAAAAGCTTTTTCTGACCCTTTATGCCTTTCTAGCTACAGTTTCATTTCTTGTTCCTCCTTGCAGTGAAACTCCTCAAAAATTGTCTACACTCATTGTTGCCAATTATTCTCCTCCTGTTTTGTCTTGGGTCCAGATTTTTATCCCCTCTACTCCCCTGAAATAGTCCTTACCAAATGACCAGTGACCTACAGGTTGCTAAACTCAATGGTCAAGTCTCAGCTCTTTTCTTATTCCATCAATCTGCAGCATTCAACAAAATTGATTCTTAAAGGAAGGGAACTTTGGACTCAGGGCTTTTAAGACCTCTCTACTGTGGATCTCCTCTTCCTCACTGTTTACTCCTATTTACCTCTCTCTTTGGCTATTTTTTTTTTAATCTCCTTAGTCTTGAATGATGAAAGTTCCCTGGGCTTTTTCTTTAAACCTATGTTTTATCCATACTTGCTTCCTATGTGATTATACCCAATCTCAGAACTATAAATCTGCATAATGATAACTTCCAAGATGATACCTCTAACCTGGCTCTCCCTCTCTTGAATAACAGACTCATGTATTGAACTACATACTTTACATCTATGGGCATGAGTTTGAGTAAACTCCGGGAGTTTGTGATGGACAGGGAGGCCTGGCATGCTGCGATTCACGGGGTCGCAAAGAGCTAGACACAACTGAGCGACTGAACTGAACTGACTTTACATCTAAAAGGAATCTCAAATGGTCCAAAGTAGAATTTCTGATTTTCCTCCAAGACCCGTTCTTCCTGAAATCATATGCATTGTAGTAAATGTAACTTTATGCTTCAGTTAACTCAGGCTAAAAACCCTGGAGTCACCCTTAATGCAGTCCTTCCCTAAAGTCCCTACCTTCCAAAAAAGATATTTTCCACTTAACATTAGTGTTTCTGAACATTAGGTGTTCTGTACAAAAATGGTCAATCGGGGGTCTATTTTATGCAAAAATACATATTATGACTATGTGAAACCAAAAGCTGTCAGTTAAAGTGTTAAAGTGTGTTTATAACATTAAAAGTTGGGTTGTAAAGTGTTTTTTTAAAATATATATTTCATGCTAAATAATATTGGTCAGAAAAAAATTGAGGCAAAAATTTACAATACAAATCAGACACCTCCCAATAGTACGTTTACTGACCAAGTGAAGTGGATACCTGAGACTTGGCAAAGGTTGAGAAGGAAGAAGGGGAAAAGGTTAGAGCTGCGTCTGTCACTTGCTGTGGAAGGTGATGACATTTGACAATTTGGGTGATGAAACGGGCAATTTCAGACTCATGGTAACTAATGGAAATTGTCTGTCATTTAGGTATCTGTAAAGACCTTTGAAGAGTTACGACATGAAAAACATTTGCCGTGTTTGAATAAAGCATGTAAATGGAGTATTCCTTATATTTCCAATGTTTTCTGAACAGAGTTATAAGGGATGGACCAAAGTAAAGTTTTTTATCCTATTGTGCTTAAGGTTAACATTTCACTGCTTCTAAATATGACTCTGTAATGCCTCTCAGCATCAACAGCATCTCAGGTGAGCATCCTCTTTTTGATATTTGGTTGTTATCCTAGTATTACACATGATTCTAAAGCTCTGCCAACTGTTTTTTGAGTTTCCAGTTGAGATTTTGCCTGCATATTATATTTTTTAATGCTTTATTCAGTTTGGGGACATAAATATTAACTTTTCCTATATTAGCATAGACTTAAAAATGTATTGGGAGATATGTACATAGCATGAAATGTGGGTATTAAAAAACTAAAAGGTGTTCCAGTGGGAAAATATTTATTAGGAAGAGTTTCACATTGGATGTGCCTGTATATTCAAAATTGAACCATTTCTTTCTGTGTAAAATCACTACCAACCTCTTCTGAGCACTCATCTCTGCGTGGACTATCCAAGTAGCCCTCTAACTGTTCTCTTTACTTTATCCCTGCCCTCCTTCAGCTCATAACAAAAGTGATCCTTTTAAAACATAAGTCAAATCATATCATTCTGTTCAAATTTCTATAATAAATTCTATTTACTCAATGTAATATCCCATGTCTTTAAAGCGCTCACTGAATTCTCTCCTACCTCCTGCTCCTTATCATTCTACTCAACCCACACCAGTCTCTCTGTTAGTTCTTGACTGGTCCAAAAGTGCTTCTGCCTCAGAGTTTGCATTTGCTGTAGTATTTGCCTGGGGCCACTTGCTCCCTCATTTCTCATTAGAGGCTTTCCCTGACATTCTATATCAATAGTAACAGCCTACCCTCTCCCATACTTTCTTTTTCTTTACCCTGTGTATTATTTCAACAGTACTTATCCCCTGATGTATAAAAAGAGGGACCTTATAAGGCATCACCTCCACTGGAACAGAGAGTGACAGAGGCTCTACTCGTAAGTATGCTGAAATTACAACTTCATTCACTACCACTTTCTATGAGAAGAAAAGCTCCAGGGAGGCAAGTACTTCATCTGTATTATTCAGAGCTGTATGACAAGATTCTTAAAGTGTCTGACAGAGGAGATATTTAGTAAATAAATATTTATTAAATGAATACATCAGTGAATATGTGTTCTGGTTTGGTGTCTATTCTATTTAAAATAGAATTATAAGAATAATCTGTGAATTTTCCCCCAGGGAGCATCCTTTCCTCTCCAGATGTCCATGCTTTCTATGGAGGACATTCAATATGGGAGATATTTCCTAGGAAACACAAAACTGGTATTTTTTAGACAAAATAAGGCTGTCAATCTTATTCTAATTTAGAGGAATTTAACTGAGATATCCTAATTTAGAATCCCATTTAAAATGCTAACCCAATATAAGCCCAACTTTTAAGTAGGTAAATTGTGATGGTTTTACATAAAGAATTTCTCATAAATTCAGTTTTGTGTTGCATGATTTAGTAAAGGAAAGTGTAATTTTCATGAGACAGTGTTATTTTTCAGCTTCCTAGTCCTACAGTTTAAGCTCTAGCATATTACATATCATGGAAGTCAAATCCTTTACTCCACATCAGTTTCAGTTTCAGACTGAAAATCATTTATTTTTAGTGAGCTTGTAGTCTCTATCAAACAGCTGCACAAAGCTATTTGCTCTTTTTTATCATGCACAAAATCCTGACCTGTACACTCTGAAAGTGATGATGAATGAAATTTACTAGATGAATACTAAATGACTATAGCTCAGTCAAGACCACCTTGTTTATCAGCACATTTACCTCCTCACACCCCAAATAAGACCAAAGTGAAATATCAGGGTATAATTATAGCAGATATTAAAGAAATCACTACATTATTCACCTGGCCTGAGTTTAAACTGAATATTTAATTCATGTAGTAGCAGAAGTTCATTAACCTTTACTGGACTTTGCTCAGTAATAAGCACAAATCATTGTTGTTTTCCCCTCTGATGCCTGTAATATTTAAAACATAATAGGACATTTTTATGACCAAAGACATTGAGAAAGACAGAACAACACAAGTAAACAAGAAAAATGATCATAAATACATTATGGTGTTATTCTACAAAATGTTTTAATCTTAATAAAAGACATTTTAAGCTGTACTGCCTAGGCAACTATGTCTTCATTTCACTGTGAGAGAAATCTGAAGTATTATTGTGTATGTGTGCAAGTAAGGCTCCTAAAGTCTTTGAGATGTCATTTCCAGAAACAGTTTAAAGTACAAAACACATAGAGTACAATAAAGTATATTTACTTAAAAATGCACATAAATAAATGTGAGCATCTGCCCAATTCTGTGGACATCTTTTTGAAGCCCTATAAATCGTTGTGCTTGAGTAGAGTACATGAGAATTTTGGAAATCCCATTTAGTAAAAAAAAAAAAATTAAAAACATTTATAGACTTTTATGAGTCTCCTGATATAATCTGAAAATAATTTAAAGGATTATACCTCATTCATTAGGGAAAAGACTTATAACTAATTTCAATTAAAAAATGACAATTAATGTTTCCACAATATGTAACTGTAATTCATAAGAATACAAACCATAACAAATTATTTTCTGCATGTTTCCTACTACCTCAATAGTATAATTGCTCCTTTATTAATCTCCAGTCTTAGTCATTTTTATTGATAATTTTCTTTGCAATACCCAACCCAAAAATATATTCTAACCTGGAAACATTAGGTTGCAAAGAACAGACACCATGAAAGTTAACTTGGGAAGATATGTAAAGAGGGTTGTCATAACAAAACCATTTCTAATATTTAATATTTGCTTCTCTCTAACTTGAACTTGCACATGATTTTGCATAGCTGTGATATTAACACGGGTTGCAATGTTATATCACATCACAGGTTGCAATGTTATATCACATTTAAGCTAAGGATCTAACCAATGGCTGATAAAAGTTTCCATCTCTTAGTTTCACATCTTATGAAAGAGAATTTGATTTATTGTTGTGTGAGTGACCAAACTGCTTATTATTCAATCAGAGATAACTGAGAGTAATCATGTAGTACAACAGGTTTCCCCTTAGAAAGGCCCTGTGAGGTTCAGATTCTCTAGAACATAATCCTAAAAATGGATAAGACAAGCTAAATCAATTAACTCCAGTCATGGAAGAACATGACTGTCATAAAATATTCCTGTATAATAGGTTTCAGTTTTACAGAATCAATCTAGAATAGCAGTTGTTAAATTATTGCTGTAACCTAGCACAGAAAATAGAAGAAACACTCCCTACAATTTATAAGTTATATACATAGATTAATGTGTTATCTTAAAGGTATGTATTAATACAGATATGAAACCTGAATAACTTTAAAAGAATAAAATTTAAATGAATGAAGGTTTATGATTTTCTCTCCAAAGTCATGATCAGAGACCACTTATACTTAATTTTAAGTTTCATTTGATTAACAAACCCATATATCATACTAGCCAAGTGTCAAGTATCTTTCTATGAATAAAAATCCATGCCTTGGAATTTGATGAACTCTTGAGAAGTATTTCTGCCTCCTGTTGGGGTGGAAGCGTTTTGTCCACAAAAAATTGTCGAGAAGCTTGAAGAAGTGGTAGGCAGTTGGTGAGAGGTCAGGTGAATATGGAGCATGAGGTAAAACTTTATAGCCCAGTTCGTTTAACTCTTGAAGTTACGTGACCTTGTGTGGTTGGGCACTATCATGGAGGAGAACTGGACCTTTACTGTCGACCAATGCTGGCTGCAGGCATTGCAGATTTTGGTGCATCTCATTGATTTGCTGAGCCTATTTCTCAGATGTTATGGTGTCACTAGGATTCAGAAAACTGTAGTGGATCAGCCCAGCAGTGGACCACCAAAAAGTGACCATGACATTTTTTTGGAACAAGTTTGAATTTAAAAAATGTTTTCAAGCTTCTTCTCAGTCCAACCACTGAGCTGGTCATTGCTGGTTATCGTATAAAATCCACTTTTCATCGCACGTCACAATCTGATTGAGAAATGGTTTATTATTGTTGTATAGAATAAGAGATGACACTTTGAAAAGATGGTTGTTTTTTTTTAATTTCCGGTCAGCTCATGAGGCACCCACTTATCGAGCTTTTTCACCTTTCCAATTTGCTTCAAATGTGGAATGACCATAGAATGGTTAACATTGAATTCTTTGGCAACTTCTTGTGTAGTAGTAAGAGATTAGCTTCGATGATTGCTCTTAATTGGTTGTCAGCTTCTGATGGCTGGCCACTGTGCTTCATGGCACTCATCTCCTTTGCAAAACTTGAACCATCACTGCACTGTCTGTTCATTAACAGTTCCTGAGCCAAATACATCACTGATGTTTCAGGTTGCCTCCACTGCTTTACAACCCATTTTGAGCTTTAATAAAGAAAAAAATCACTCAAAAGTGCTTTTTGTCTAATATCATTTCTATAGTCTAAATATAAAATAAACAGCAAGTAATAAGTCATTAACAAAAAAACAAAGTGTGAAATGCACATTAAAGTGATATATAACATAACCACATTTACTTAAGAATGTATTCCAATATCAAATAGTAAAGTTCAACCATGTAAAATCACAATTACTTTTGCACCAACCTAATACACTACAGGAATAAACAAACTTATTTCTCGTTGGCAAAAAATGTTTGGATTGCAATGGTTCCTATTTTGATCAATAAGGATGTATTTGAGCCTAGTTACAACGATTTAAAATTCATGGTCTGAAATTGCAATTACTTTTGTACCAACCTGATTATCTCAAGAGTTACAGTGATTTTGTCCAAAATTCCAAGGTCCCTCCATGGCTTTTGCCAACCATGTCTCCATTGTCTAAATTGTTTTTAGATTATATTTTATTTTACGCTCTCCTCTACTTGCTCTTGCTCACAGAAGCATCAGTTTCTCCCTGTCTCATGAGAAGTAAGGATCTCCCACAGAACTGGCAAAACAATGGGTGAGATTTGCAATGTCAGATTTTACTGCAGAGAGAAAACAACTGTAGAAAAAAATCTAAAGTCTATCGTTATAACTATAAACATAGAGATATCCCTTGGTGGATTGTTCTTCTCATGTGTATTAAGAACAAAAACAGTGGGCAACATTTTGGACAGCATCTTTTCCGCCTTTCCTGACTATGCTGTCTCTAGGGCATAAGGTGAGTAAATCACAGTATTTCTTCTTTCTCTCCAGGGGCGATGAGCTTGATACTTCACACATAATGTGATGTAAAAACTAACTATAGCTTTACTTTTTTACTTTAGTTTCATCATAGAAAATATGTCAGTGTAGCTCCAAAGATGGTTGGATCATGCAACAGAGACCCCCTGCTAATCACTAGAAGAGTACTGGGAATGTGACTTCCATATTTATTCTTCCCTTGGTCTTTATGCCAGGACTTTGCTTTTTGTTTCTAATATTATTTCTTTGTTCTTGTGAATTCTAGCACTAAATCGCTTTGAGAAAATAGTGTTTATTGTTCTAAATATTTCCACGGTCATCTGCAGTGATTCAAGTTTTTGTTAGAAAGGAATTTGGCATCACTTCCAAAAACTGAGTAACAAGTGCTTAACCTACTAGACTCACTTTCTGGCATTTGTACTGGAAACAAATCTGTGCTTCCCTGTCTGGCCTCCGTGATGCAGAAGACATCGGACACAATTCTTTTTCCCTTCTCACAACCTCTTCTTGTTCTCATGCTGTCTGGAGCCTATTTTTATTTCCTTTTAGTACACCTTTTCATCGTATCTACCTAATCTCAAAAACAACTTTCTTAGTTTTCTAATTGAAAATAATCCTAGTTTATTTTGTCAAAGGCCTTGAGAATGAGGCAGATTTGCTTCCTGGTAGTTCCTTAAAAATTTCTATGGCTTTTCACTCAGATGGTTGGTCTCTGGATCCTCCTTTGAGTAAGTTTGGTGCTGTTCTTCTTGAAGAGAAAGACACAAGTCAGAGCTGTGGAATTATCTGAAATATCAATTGAAGTAAGGAACCATTATCAGACTTCTCAAAGCGTATGGACTTTCTGAGTGTTAAGTTATCCCATGTGAATGAAACTGAGTTTCCCAGGTAAACAAAGCCCCATCTGTTAATCTAAGGGGAAACA